AGAGAGAGAGAGAGAGACGGTTTAGAGGTTTTTTGTAAAGATAAAAAAGTTGGTATCCCCTCGCAATGATGTAAGTTTAGTATTTATAGTGAAATGAAGATGGTTATTGATCTCTAGAATCGTGTCACATCATCCATATTTGGACAATTAGATTTAAGTTTGAATAAACTGATTTCTTTTGAGTTAAATTACTTCAACTTGCTAGCAAAAACCAAAAAAAGTAATAATTTAACATTCTTAATTTTAACGATTCCGCTCCCAAATCCACTAAGTCAATCTCTCTAATTTATCTAAAAAACAAAGCATGAATATTGGTCCTATCGTAACACTTGGATCCATTCTTGTGTGATCCAAAACCTTATGCTGGACTAGGCACCTCCTTAATGCAATGCATTTATTATGTAATTTAGATCCATACCAAAATAATAATAGTAATAATAACATAAATTAGTACTAATAAAATTAACTAAATTATTAATTAATTTTTATGGATAAATAGCATATACGAAGGAATGTCTTTTTTTTTTTTTTTTTTATGTTTATAGGTAGGGGTATCATCATTCTAATTTTTTTATTAATCGAGACTAAATCTACTACTTTCTAAACTATGTCGGCATCAAATCACGTCTAACCTCTAGTCAATTGTAAAGGCTAGATATTTTTTCTTTTTTGAATTCTTTAACAATATATGCCTAGTACCACACAAAAGAAGAGAGAAGAGATTTCTAAGGATAAGAATTGAACCCCCGACTTAATGAGTTAAAAATATTCTTTTTAATATTCCATCTATAACCTACCATAGTATACAAAAGATACGTTATTTTTGTCACAAATTAAGTTTTATGATAGTTTTCCAATTAGGACAAATTCGATGTATTTGTAATGAGTAAAATAATGGTTCCTAACCCAAGAGTGTTGTCTTGAATGGAATGAGCTCTAATCGCTTAAGTAAGTGGTCTCGAGTTCGAGTCTTTATGTATACAAAAAAATCTCTCGGGTAGTTATCCTCATCTTGTACGTCTAATAGAATAACAAGAAATTAATTTGAGCCTTTGGGTCTTTGGAAGATTAAAAACAAATGGAACCTAATTATTTATGTTTGGTAGAATGTTGTTGAAGTTATTTTTGTAACCTTTTATTTTTTTTACGTGGTTGCATTTTTGGAAGAAGGGAGAGTCATGAGGAAATTAATTTGTAACCTTAAACAATAATGTTTGATTTCTAATAAAAAGCATTATTGCTTATAATCTTTTACACTTGAATCCAAAAATGGGAATTAAGTTCTCGTTAACAAAGAAAGAGATTAGAGATCACCATGCAAATATGTCGACTCTTTTATCTTTGACAATTTACCTTTTCTTGGTTAATAGTTGTAAGAAATTAATAGTTTTATAATCAAATTGTTGGTTGTTTGTTAGATAATTCAACTTTAGAATCAAATCAACTTTAGATCGACCAAAGAAGGGAAAAAAAAAAACTAAGGAATTGCTCGAACAAAGGGGTGATTACGGTTACATGGCCTAAAAATGCAACTTTCCGTGTTCGAGAATCTAACATTCTCCTTATTTCAACTTCATTGAAACTTGAAAATTATTGCAACGAGTTCATATATAACAAAACTATTTAATTGGGTGTTAAAATGTTGCTAGATAATGGATTGGATCCATAAATCTTATATATGTTTCTTCCGTAGATGCTTCAAGAAGCGCAAAATTGAGGATATTTCTTTATTTTAACGTTTAACTTGAGATTCAATTAATGTTAAACTATATAAAATGAATAATCCTCTTTTCGATCGTTATTCCTAATCTCCATGTAAAGTGGAGATTAAAAGCTTGAATAAATGTGGTATGCAGATGTCGATATGATTGCGAGTGCAAAATTGTTGATTGGTATAAGCTATTATAGAGACCCTTTCACATCCCCAATCGAGCTTCATCTATTGGTTGGCTATTCTAGATAGATTAACTACTAAATGCAAGCACTCTAAGATGGGAAGGGTGATTGACACCAAATGTGACATATACAATCTTACAAATAAAGATAGAGATCACATTTTCTTTACATTTTTTATAATAAAATCTGTGTGGCAACAAGTTCTACTCTTTTGTGACATTAATTGGTAAGTGGGTTCTTAAAATGATAAATTTTTCTAGGCTAAACAATTTTTACAGAAGTAGAAATTTGATGTGATTGTCTTATGAATTGCTTGGTGCTCATATAGCAATTTTGTTTGGAAAGTTAAAAATGTAAGAATTCACAGTATTACAGGAGGAAAAGTTGATACTATTTTAAAAAATATCATCACGAGTCTATGAAGGAGATTTAAATGCACTAAACTGCTGACTAAAGTCTTAAAAAAATTCTAAATATAGTTTTTTTTTTGTTAATACTAGAGTCTTTGTAGTGATTTTTAAGTAATTATTTGTTTTTAGTATCGATTTCAACAGTAATATACCATTTCTATATTTATGTTGTTTTTTTTTTTTGCACAAATTACTTGATTAATGAATTTTTTTATTCATAACACACACATATACAGTGCCCAATCTTGACTATTACTATGGTTATTATTACTATGCTTTTTTATAATGACAATATGAGCACTGAGAAGTTGTTACATTATTATTTCTCTTTTTAATGTTTCTTTATATTAAAAAACACAGACCACAGAACCAAGCGTTTACTTTTGTTACAGAAAAACATCAGTTCGTGTATTTGTATGTATATAATTGGTGGAGTCCATCGGAGGATTCAAGTCAATGTCGCTATAACGTGGATTGCATATATTTATGCACATGTAGAGTTAGTGTCATAGCGGCGAAATGACACTGTTATTGTGCCAATGAGAGATAAGACTGATTGTCAAGCTTTCGCAAACTACAAGAAAAGGGGTTTTTTTTTTATGTATTTTTTATTTAGCTTACTTAATTAAAGTCTTACGGAAAATTTAAATTGAAAGATTCATCAACATCTCGTTTGCATTTGAAATAATAAATTACTAAGCAAATTTAATTTGGGTATTTGTGTGGTGGATTTTGGAAGCAGCTTCATGGTTTTTTCTTGACAAAGATTGATCGAAAAGCATCCATTAAATAACAAATGCGCAAACGTTTACTGACAACAAAAACCAAGAACTTGTTTTCTCTCAGAGGACGAAGTGGCATGCAAAAGACTAAAAGATTTACATTTATTCTTCCAAATATGCCAGCATCATTATAGTTTCTATAAAAGTATTGCAAGAGAAGGGACAAATCGGATTCATCAACTAGCAGAGAATGTCGTGGCTCTCAATATTTGTTGTGCAAGAAAGTCGGGTGTAACCAAGAAACACAAAGTCATAAAATAATCCATATACCTGGAATTAAAGATTAATGATAAGCATATGAAGTTTTTATTTTTTATTTACTTAGATATATCTATTTTATATTAAAACAAAAATAACCTTATTCGAAAATAGAATGATAAAATTTAAATTTTTCTCAATAAATATAATAATAATAATAATTTTTTATTGTGAGAAAACTCTTTTAGAAACTAGGTTGATTTACTTAATGTTGCAATTTGTCGGAAAAGTTTTTACTTTTTAGTCACCCACTGCACCTGGACCCTACTACTTACATGAGCAATTGACCTTTAAGAGTGCTAAAGTAAGCTACATAGTATACGCAATATTGATTTGATTTTGATACCCAGGTCTCCAGGCTTCACGAGTTTATTGGGAGCTCACTTTTCCCTTTGGTTGAACCGAAGGGCTACCATCTCATGGCAGAAACAGCATGCATATCCTCCACAAGTAGTGCTGTCTCTGCTCACGCAATACCGGTTTGGACATTCAAGAATCTTGTGAAGGGCTAAAACTTTTTATGATATGACCAACATCACTACATTCACGACCGATTGTTTAGTTGTCTTTTCAGCTGTCAAACAAAACATTATAAAATACTCCTCGCACTTCCTCATCACCAAACAATTTACATCATCACATATGGAACTTCCAAAAGAGACTGGGAGACAGCATAGTTGAGCTCTTCAAGGCCCACTTCCTCGAGTCATGTTTGAGTTTTAGGTCCATGGATGGCTTGGTGGGTGAGGGCCCAAGACGAAGTGTGATTCCTCGCGCCATTCACTTCACATCCATGGTACCAGCTGCCAAGGCTGATTAACATTAAAAGAAAATATAAGAATGATTAACATAAGGTACAAATAAAAATTCAACCTAAAAAAAATATTGGAAGGGTATACACTGAGTTCAGGATCCTTTTCAAATATATATATATATATATATATATATATATATATATATATATATATATATTAAAATTGAAAAGGATTTCTAATATATACTCTATTAAAAAATTCATTTATTTAAAATCATAGTATCATTTAATGGTTTATAGCTATCCTACTTGTCAATCCATATGAGTAGGCAATGGCGCAAGAAATGTTTTAAATCTTTAAATTTAACTGTACACTGATTAATCATATACATGCAAAACGTAAATTTTACATTTTATAATTTAATTATTTTTCTTTCTTCCTATTTTACAATTTACCTTTCAATTCATTAACATGCAAAACATCCTTAAAATCTTTTTTTTTTTTTCCATCCTTAAGAATTTATCCAATAGTAATTCCCCTGCATCTTTTACCGCGCAACAAGGCCACCTAAGTGGTTCCATGGAATGCGAAAGGAGGAATTCAACTCGTGGAAATTAGAATAAAGGACAAGATTGCTTCATTTATTTCATCCCTGGTCATGGCATCCTCTAAGGAACTAATTGTAACTATTTTTCTATAAGAACTCAATGAAGGTATGAGCTCCAATTAGGGGACGAATTTGTTTTTCCCCGAAAAGAGGACTGTCGCGGCCAGAAAAGTCCACGTCAACTCTGTTTTGGCGGGAAAATCCCTAGCTAGCAAACGGAAAATAAAATCCCTAATTCCCCAATTCCAACAACCAACCAGAAATTCGTTCTCTCACTCTGTTAGCCTATACTATGGAAATCAACGATGGAGAAGAAGAGGAATTTGAATTCTCACGGAATTACTTTCTAGCAAAAGAATTAGCCGGGTCGGGTAAGAAATCAACTCGCAAGATTTCCGATATCAACGTCGTCGATGAACAGGCAATCAGCACTTTATTTATCATTGTTTCTTTCCTTTCCTTTTTTTAATCAAATACGAAGAATTTGGCTTTTCTTTTTTTTAAAAAAAATATTGCAGGAGCTAAGGGCGGCAGCAGCTAATATTGAGCTAAAACATGAGAAAGAGATTAATTCTCTTGTTAATAGTTACAAGAGCTTGTATCCTAAATGGGATTTCGAACTCAGGTAATTAGTTACGTTCAGTTCTCTCTGCATTATTAACAATATTGCTAGATTTTATGAAATTGTAGTACTGATGAAATGGGCACCATTTATTTGATGAAATTAACTGGCTCAAAGAATAGTAGGTTAGACGCACATACCAAATTGAAACCCATTTCAAAAAAGAAAAATTTATGGCGTCAAGTTTGGAATTGAGAAGTTTAGTTGAAAATTTTAAGTCAGTATCTAATGGTTTTATGTACTTCTAAATTTTTCATATGCATATAGATAATTTTATGAAAATTATATGCTACATCCCTTCGATTCTTTATATTGATTTTTTCTTTTTTGAAAATTATTTGCCCTAATTGATGATTCTTTACTATGAATTAAGGTGTGGATTTGGCCTTCTAATGTATGGATTTGGATCTAAGAAGGTATTGATTGAAGATTTTGCTTCAACAGCTTTAACTGAGTATTCTGTAGTAGTAATCAATGGGTATCTTCAGTCAGTCAATCTAAAACAGGTACATCTACCCTGGTGTCTAGCTGATGCTTGCATTTATGTATTGATTTACGCATTGATAGTGTCAGGTCCTTAGATGCTTCATATAACATTACAATGATTTCTTGGTCTAGAAATGCAAGCCAAGCATAATACAATGGAGTTTATCGATGATACATAGGCCGACTTTTTCTTTTTGCTATGCTAACTATTGTAGCATCGTGACTGTAGGTGGTCATTGCCTTAGCTGAAATTTGGTGGGAAGAGTTGAAAACCAGACGGAGAACTTCTTCAGGGTTATCATCTAAAGTTCAACAGCCTTTTAATTCTCGATCTATGGATGACCTTCTTGCATTTTTGCATGAATCACATGTAGATGAAAATGATTCTTTTGTGTGTGTTGTTGTTCACAACATTGATGGGCCTGGGTTAAGAGACCCTGAAAGTCAACAGTATCTTGCACGACTTGCTTCTTGTTTGCATATCCGTATGATTGCCTCCATTGACAATGTCAATGCACCTCTTTGTAAGTAGTTTCCTATTATAGTTAGTTATCTGCAAACACAATGGGGCATGCTGCTAAAATCCATTGTGTCATCTTGTTTCTTGGGTTAAATCTTGTTCTAAATTTTATTTTTATGGCTTCATCCTATGGTTTTCAAATTTGTAATTGCTCAATTATTATGCTATATATGTTGCTTGACTAGTGAAACATTTCATGTCATAATTCTCTGGGTGTACATGTTTTATGTTAACATTTAGACTTGTTTGCAAATCCTTACTTCATTTTTATGCCATGGATGGGTGCAAATTTTCATTTTTCAATCGTTCCTATGATTAAAGAACATAAATCTTGCTAGAAAACCCTTTGGTATTTTTTTTTCTTTTGTTTATTTTATACATTTATGATTTATTGTCTTTTTCCAAATTTTCCTGTCTTTGACCCTGATAACCGTATCTTTGTTTTTTTTTTTTTTTTTTTTTGGCAGTGTGGGACAAGAAGATGGTTCACACCCAGTTTAACTGGTGCTGGTATCATGTTCCTACCTTCACACCATATAAAGTTGAAGGAATCTTCTTTCCTCTGATTCTTGCTCACAGCAGCACAACTCAAAGTGCCAAAACTGCTGCAATAGTATTACAGAGTTTGACACCCAATGCCCAAAGTGTGTTCAAAATTCTTGCAGACTGTCAGTTGTCTCATCCTGATGAAGAAGGCAAGTATCTATGCATGCTTTACAGCATTATGCTTCATGGTTTAAATCTTATGAGCTCCAGATCGTTTGTTATTTTCAGGCATGCCAATTGATACTCTGTATACAGTTGCTCGAGAGCGCTTCATTGTGAGCAGCCAGGTCACATTGAACTCCCATTTGACAGAGTTCAAAGATCATGAGTTAGTCAAGACTAAACGGCAAAGTGACGGACAAGATTGCTTGCACATCCCACTTGCAGCAGATGCCCTTGAAAAGCTAGTTTCTGAGATCAATCAATAGTCCCGCTATGTCTGTGAATGTATTTCACGTTCTGCTTGCAGCGGATGCCCTTTAATAGCTGCTTTCTGAGATCATTGATCAATAGACCTAATACGCTGTGAATTTATTTCCATGTGCACGACCCAGGTTGTAACTTGAATTATTCTGAAGATCAACTCTTAATTTCCTTCTCTAGCAATGCTAGGTGACCTGCTGCAGCAGTTCACATGAAAAAACTACAATGCCTCTTTGATGGCTTTTGGCTAAACTTCTTTTCTGCTATTCGTTGCCCAGGGGGGATCCCAATGCCAATTATGGAGGACTAACTTAGTCCTTTAGTTCCCATTTACATTTCAGCTTAATTTTATTGGCGATGTTTTGTTAATTCAAGGTGTGGGGTCATTTACCAATTATAAGATGCTATGCAGTTCGGATCCTGTTACCCAGTTTGGGAGTAGCTTAGGCCATATACATACTGCCAGGTCATGTTTTTTCCTAACTCAAAATCACGTATGCATCTTGTTCTGGTCCATTTTGATATCAAATTGATTGGAATTCGGAATCTACAGCGTATTCAAGTCTCAAACTTATCTATTCAGGCACATACACAGTTGGAACTTTGAATATATGTTGATTTATCTGAAACCCCAAACATCTAAATGCGACAAATCAAACATAAATAATCAGACAAAAGTTTTATGAAGCCTTGATTCATCCAGACTGCATAAAATAATTATATTTTAGATAACAATGCAAGCTGCTCCAAGATGAAAAGAGAATTACAGTGGCTAAAATTAACCTAAAATATGCTAGGGTATTTTTTAGTTATTAGTCAGTAAGTTTGGCTTTAATTTCCCCTTTTAATTAAGCACTATTATTGTTTGTTGATCCCATAATTGAGATGGAAAGCTCATAAAAATCCCTTAAAAAGTTAAAACCCAAAAAGAAAAGTAAACAATAAGCAATCCCCATTTTTTTTTTTTTTTAAAAAAAAGCACTACGGATCCTCTCACTATTGTAGGAACTTCTCCATCGGTCGTTTCTTATCGCCATCATAATAACCATAAGTAAAGAAATTTCATGGCTGGCAATTGGCAAACTCCTTTAAATTGGATAAAATTGCCTTATATTGTTCTCAAACCAGCAGAATGTTGTCTAGGAGACGTTAAAAGCAAACCCCTCTCACCAAAAAGATGAGTTGCAAACTTGCACTTCAGAGTTCATACTGCCCAAATTTAGTAATATTGTTTTCTTGTCTCTCCGCCTCACCAAACTTTTTCTACCCTTTCCCTGGTGTTCTGATGTTTCACAGTTTGCTAGCAAAACTAGAGGTGACCGAGGCATCTTTTTTTGGGTAACAGCAAGCTAGTTTTAGTAATGTCGTTGGTTTTCAAACTTAAATTGAGGTCATGTGTACGATCCATATGCATCTTGTCCTTGTGCATACGAACGATAAAACTAACGAAGTATAGCAGTCCGTATTAATAAAAGAGATAACTAGCCAGCCTCAAAAGAAGTTTTTGTCTCGATTAAGTCTTCGAAGTATTTAGAAATTCTCGATTGAGCTGGTTCTCTTTCCAAGACTTTCCATAAATTTTTAACGGAAAACATAAAACTCCCTGCAAAATAGCCTCAATTTTTATGAAAAATTTCACTACAAGAAAATCGAAAAATAACGACAGATTTTTCCATCGCGATATCGTCAATATCTCGTTGCTATTTAGCCTTAGCAACGGATTTACGACAATATATTTTCAATAGCGAAGGTAGTTGTCACTATTTTCTTAGCGACGACAAAACTATCACTAATGCATAGAATTTCCGTCGTTAAAATGAAGTAAATAGTCATCTTTCTCGGTCCGTTATCCGTTACAAAACTATCACTAATTGGTTATTTTTGTGGCTAGTTCTATCGCTAAATTGTAATTGCTAAAATCCATCATTATTTAGTGATTGTATATGTGTCGATCTACAAAGAGATTTAGTTTTCATCGTTAATTCAATTATTGATTCGTTATTAAAAGAAGAATTTTGTTATATATAAATTAATAGCCGTTTAATATTAACGGTGGTAACAAACATCTAAAAATAACACTTTATCAAAACATAATATATTATTTAAGAAAATTAAAATTAAAATCAAATAAATATATAAATGTGTTAAGGGATACGAAAAAATTAAAAACCTTTTAAAAAAAGAAATCTAGTCCTTGTCATCTTCTACATTATCATTTCCTCCATCATCTTTCTACTTCTGTATATTGAGAGGAACGACTGATCGCTAGGTTATGGGGGTCGGAGGAGGGATGTGAGTATGCTCGCAGGTTTAGTAACAACCCTATCACTATCTACTTTTGACTCTATAGATTATTGAATTGGATTGTAATATCCATTCTTTTGATCATATCTTCGTACTTGGTAGAAACCTTCTAAATATTACCATTAGCATTTTGTGAAATGCTAGAGCCGTAATGAGAGTAAAATTGAGACGCCCGTAATCCGAAACCATACACTTTATACTTTTTCTCCCCTCATAAAACATCCAAATATATTTCAGTCATGTTAATATTTGAAAATGATAAATTACCCTTCAGTTGCTCCTTAGCGATTGCTTCTTGCATTAACCGCACGCGCTCCTACATCATTAAAATAATTTAAAATAACAAATAATTAATAATTTTCAATAAAATTAAAAACCAACCAACTTATCAAAATTAATCTAATTTATTAATTAAATCAAAATCAAATTAATCAAATTAATTCTAATTCAAACTTAATTAAATTTAAAAGTAACTCAAATTAACCCTAATTCAAACCTAATTAAATTTAATAAACAATTAATTAAAAATTTTCAATATAAATAAAATTAAAAACCAACCAATTAATCAATTAAACCTAAATCAAATTAACCTAATTAATTCTAATTCAAAAATAATTAAATTTAAATCTAAATAAAATTAACCCTAATTCAAACCTAATTAAATTTAACTAACAATTAATTAATAATTTCCAATATAAATAAAATTAAAAATCAATCAATTAATCAAAATTAACCTAAGTAAAATTAACCAAATTAATTCTAATTCAAAACTAATTAAATTTAAACCTAAATCAAATTAACTCTAATTCAAACCTATTTAAATTTAAATAATAATTAGTTAATAATTTTCAATATAAATAAAATTAAAAACCAACCAGTTAATCAAAATTAACCTAATTAATTAATTAAAACTGAATTAAATCAACCTAATTAATTCTAATTCAAACATAATGAAATTTAAACTTAAATAAAATTAACTATAATTCAAATCTATTTAAATTTAATGAATAATTAATGAATAATTTCTAATTAAATTAAATTAAAAATCAACCAATTAATCAAAATTAAGTTAATTAATTAATTAAACTTAAATAAAATTAACCTAATTAATTCTAATTCAAAATTAATTAAATTTAAACCTAAATGAAATTAATCCTAACTCAAACCTAATTAAATTTAACTAACAATTAATTAACAAATTATCCTAACAATTGTCAAAAAATAACAATTTTAACAAATTAATTAATAAATTAACAATTAAAACTATACAAAATTAGAAATCAATCAATTAAATTTAAAATTACGCTAATTAGGAAGAATAACTAACTTTTTTTGAGAGAGAGAGAGAGACGAGAGAGAACTTACTTGATTCGACCGAGAGAAAGGAAAGAAAAACGAAGGTTTTTAGGAAAAAAAAAGAATTTGGAGTGAGAGTAGACTAAAGGGGAGTGGAGGATTAGAGTTTTGTGGTGGTTTTAGGTGGGGGAAGGATTGGCAATTGGAGGAGAAGGAAAGGAAGAAGAAAATAGGGAAAGAAGAAAAACAAAAGTAGATTTAATTAGAGATTCAAACCAACGACGGATGCGATCCTATCACTAATTCATTTTTTTTTTAATGACGGACATAAGTTTCTGTCATTGAGCCATCATTAAATGAGAAACTTTTTAATTCCAAAAGCCGACTAATTAAATACTTCCATGAGGTTGAAGATGTGGGAGTCTTCGGCTTGGATGATTACAGTATTGAAAAAGCTTTATCTAAGTGATTTTATTTTGGGATAACACCCTTGTATGTGTCCGTGGAGTGGATGATGTGGGAGTCTTAAGCTTGAATGATTACAATATTGAAAAGTTTCATCCAAATGATTTAATCTGTGATAATACCTTCAAGTCCTACAGCTTATTGATTGATAAAATAAAGTGTGTATTATTATTATTATTATAAAAATCTAAATTAATAGATCCCAAAACTATCATTTTAACTCTAGACGGATCATTTTTTAAGAAAACCTAAAACCATATAGGTTTTTTACAATAAAGATTCAAAATGATGTTGTTTTAATTCATTTTAGTTCAAAATGACATCATTTTTTTTTTCAAAAGAAAAAAAAATGTACAAATATGAATTCGTTTTGGTACTTGGTTTGTTAGAAGTGGTATTTAAATTTATTTGTGCTAAAATAAAATTTCTGAATTTAGAGGAAGCAGAGAGAATCATTTTTTTTTTTTTGACTTTTTAAAGTTGATTAAAACATATTTTAAGATTCAAAAATAGTTTTTAAATATTGTTGGGCTTATTCTAAAGTATTTGAAAATAAAAATAGTGTAAAAATTAGGTTTGAAAAGCCAAACCAGTGACACCCGATTCTCAGTGACTTTCAAGCGACAATTGCAAAGTTGACAACAGATAAGTCCTCGCAGACGACACGTCGTTTGCATCTTTTTTTTTTTTTTTTTTTTTTAAGTGGCTGGTCCACTCATGTCTAGTCCAAGCGTGCATGCCGGGTCATCTCTGGGCCCATGCGCATGCCATGGCCCAACTTTATTTGTTTTTGTTTTTCTTTTCTTTTTTTTATAAAATTCTTTTCTTATCTTTTATACTTATCTTTTCTTATTATTTATTATTTTCTAATAATTAATGGTTATTTTTTGATTTTTTTGAAGATTGGTTAACTAAAATCAAATACCTTTCCAATATTGGTTGATTTAGCACATTTTTAGTGTGCGATTTTTGCTTTTTTCCAATTGTTAACTCTTTTAATTTGATTTTTAAACTTAAATAAGAAATTCACTTAAGGTGTTAAATCCTACAAAATACAAATTAAATTAAAATATTTCTATAATTAATATTGATTTCATTTTTATTTTATTAATTTAAATTTCTTATAGATAAATTACTTTAAATATCATGTTTGAGCACGATAACACTTTACATCTTATAGTTTTATAAATTATATTTTACACTTTAAATATTTTATAGTAAACTTTCAGTCACAGATTGAATATATATGTATAACTCATGATGCCAGCTAAACATTTTTTTCACTATTCTTACCCAACTCTCTCTCTTCTCTTCAATCTCTTGTTCGTCCCTTCTCTCTTAAAAAATCAGAGAGACTAAGAGAGAGACAAGTTGATTAACTTAGTTTCTTCAACAAAATAATAATAATAATAATAATAATAAATAAATAAATAAAACATAAAATCAAAAATAATTGATTGATTGAAGGCTGTTTTTACTGTTTCTTGTTGATTTGCTAAGGAATCGAAACTCAATAGGAAGTATGTGAAACTCTCACTCCAATGTTGGATTTTTTAAACAAAAATAGCAGTATTGCATAAAATACTTAGGTTAACTTTATGTTGTAGAATCCCGAGAAAAACCCTTAAAAATAGTTTTTTTTTTTTTAAATAAAAAAACTGTAATTATTTGATGTTAATTTTTTATTCGAAATTGATTGTTTAGACAGTTCTTGTTGGTTCGGAACAAAACTTCTAAAAATATAACTTTTTATGAAATTCTCAAAGAGAAACCCTAATTTTTTTTTTTTAAATAATTTTGTGAAGTGTTTTCTATTATTTGGTGAATCGAGAAATAGAGCTACATATGAAACGGTTTGAAATTGAATGTTTGTTAACTTAACTTGATTTTTCTTGTGTATGTGATTTTGTGTTTCTTAAGCATAATTTTGTGCTCCAAGTCTATTATAAAATGTGTTCTGATAATTTAGAAAAGGTTATTGACATGCTACAATTATGCAGGGTAAAACACTGGTTTTTGGTTTGCCAATTTTGGAGTCATTAGTAAATGGGCCTGCAAAAGCATGAAAGAAGACTGGCTATGGCAGGGCATTTTAGTGTTTTGGTTCTTTTGCCTACCAGGGAATTAGCCAATCAGGTATAATATCTAACACTGGTTTTGGGAACTCCTAGCTGCATAAATGTATCATTTTGTTTAGAATGCTCTTTTGATTTTCTGCTGGTGTTAGAATATCACATCCACTTGAAATTATTTGATTTAAAAATGTTATTTATTTCCATTAAACTTGGCATAGGATCACATAGAGAAGGGCGATATTGACTTAAGATTGTTGAGGTTTCGGGTCGTTGATGAGGCTGACGAAATGCCGAGGATGGGTTTTGTTAAACATGTTGAACTTATTCTTGGCATGGAACTACATGTAGAAGACTTGGAACATGTTATTTTGATCACGAGGCAATGCTTGGAGTCATGTTTGAAGCTCAACTATTTGATTCAGTAACCCCTATTATGCTAATGACTTCATGATCTGGAGAATTTCTAAAGAAGTTGATGTATTAATGAGTGAGAGATTGAAGAAGAAGAAATTTGATCACAAGGTTTTATTTGGTCATTGTTGTTTTTTGATGATTTTGATTTAGTAAAAGATACTATTTGTTGAGTTGGTTTCTTTTTTCTTTTTCTTTTTTTGAAAAATTTGATACAATTACTTTGCTTTGACATACTATTATGAAGCTATGGACATGAACGTATTTTATTTATTTATTATTATTATTTGTAAAATACTTGTTTTTGGTTAGCATAATCAAAATAAATAGTGTTTGAAATAAAATTCAAAAAGTTGAGATGTAAAATGTAATTCATGAAATTATTTGATGTCCGTACTCAAAATGTATGTGTTTAAAATAATATATCCAATTTAAAAAGTAACTTGATAATCTTGGTTTTACCAATATGCATGATTTCGTTTCGACGGATTTATTAGTTAACCATCACATATTATATGAGCATAAATATAATTGCACAAATAAATCATACATGTTGGAACATTCTAATCAAAATTGTAAACGAATAATGATCTTGCTGATGGTCGAATCTAAATCCTCGCACTCTTGTTGTGCTATGCATCCAAACCCCATAATTCATCTCTCTCTCTCTCTCTCTCTCTCTCTCTCTCTCTCTCTCTCTATATATATATATTAAAACGGTCAATAATCAATAATCTAAAGATATTCATACAGTTCAGCTCATATTCCATGTAACTATATATTTTAGGTATCGTTTAGTTATTAAAAAATCAAAAATTCAAAATGAAAATTTAAAATCAAAATAAAAAATCAAAAAATTGAAATGACATTCGAATTCACATACTACATTTAGAATAATCATAAGAAATCAAAATAAAATTTAAATTTTTTAATATTTAATTTTTAATACAAATAAAATAATAATTAAAAAATAAATTCATTAACTATAATAATAATAAAAATAATAAAAGTGATTATGATAGTAGAGGAGGATGGAGTAATAGCAGTATAGTAATAATAATAATATATTTTTAAAAAATTGATACCTTTACCATAAGAGATGGTAGTGAAAAAAAATAATGATAGTAATATAATAAAAGTGATGACTATTGTTGAAAAATAATGACACAATAATAATAATAATAATAATTTTTTTTTAATTTTTTTTTATAACCATTGCCGATGGCGGTAGCGATGGTGATATTAATTGTGGTGGCAGTGGAACTAATGATACTGTGAAGATGAAGGTGAAAGTTATGATGACGGTAAAAGTAATTCATACTCAATAAATAAAAATAATATATTATTATTTAAAAAAAAATTCATTTTCACTTTTTGTTTTTATTCACCTCTCTCGTAAAAATAAAACTATTTTTAATTTTTATTTATCTTTTCATTTTTTATTTTTATTCCGACTTCTTTTTTTTTTCAACCAAACACTTATACAGTAAAAATAAAACTTTCATTCTCGTTTCTCCCGTTAAATTCCTTGACACTAAACAACAATTTCGAGTACAATCCTTCCATTCAAAGACCAATAAATTTCAGAAACGTACAAGATTGCATTAATCAATGATTAAGTTACATTTGTTTCTTTCCATTTGGCTCACAGATTAAAAAAGGACGGTTAGATTTGAGCAAATTTAAAATGTCAAAATTACCTTACCACTCCACAAATTGATGGACAGCCTCCAAAGACACAGGAGCTTTTTCTTCTTTCTCCCAGCTGTAGTGGAAACGACCCAATCATCAGATAAAAATAAAATAAAAAAGGAAGAAGAAGTAATAAGAATGATAACAAGATGTCCGAGACATTATTCTGGTCCATACCTCCTAAAGGGAAGTCGTAGCTGCTGCTGTATATTTCTTGTGTATGCACTAATTCTTCGTTAAACGAAAATTGCAGCTAATACAAGTATATGCATTAGTCTGGATGAGATGAAGCTGCACGCTGAAGCACCAAATATGGCCCATAATCATAACTTAATATTCCATTCAGTCATAAAAAATTAAATTCATAGGTGTGTGTAAAGCAGGCAAAGACCCATGATCAGGGGTAGATAATTACCAGAAATTATGCTTGCAACTGAAATGATTCTCATGGCGACCACTTCACGCGATATGTTTTATCGGATCAGATCCCAGCATGACATACAAGGATTTTTCAGCAGACCTTCACTGAACAACTAATGAGTATTCTGAGGTGACACAGCAGGTGGATGCAAGCCCCCTTGATTCGTTTAACTTCAGACTGACTATAGAAAACAAAACGAAGCCAGGTTTTCAAATCTCATCAGCTCCCTGTCTTGCTGGGACAACGAAATTATTTTCTTCTTGTGTATGGAGCTTGATGCCCTCAAGCAACGTTTGGAAGATCTCGGGAGCCTCAGAAGTTAGGCCTCGGGGTAGGAACCGGTTCAATTTCTGGGAGTAGTTGACAGCAATCTGGATTTCCCATTCATCCAATTTACAGGAGATGATATTCTTCCACTCCTTTGATCTCCCTTCTAAGCAAAGACCATATACCAGGGCAGCGCAAGAAACAGGATCTGGAAAGATCCCCTTACTTGTCATCTTATCACGTAGCTGCAAAGCAGTGTTAACCATTTTATGATGGCAAAGGCAAATGAGCACACAATTATAAGCAGCAGCTCTCTGCTCCCATCCATCCAAAATCATCGTTCCAAAAAAGTCCAGCAGCAGAGAAGCATTATTCTCTAGAGACTCATTTGCTTTGTTAGAAATTGCAGTTGCCACGTTATTTGCTAGGCCATTTATAAGATAGTTGAAAGTAACATCATTAGGAATGCAACTGTTCAGCAACATTATTTCAAAAAAGGAGCAAGCTTTTGCAAGTTTACCCTCCTTACAGAAGCACCCAATAAGAATAGTGTATGTGACAACATTAGGCTCCAATCCAAAAGATCGCATCTCTTCAAATGTCTTTTCAGCCCTGCAGGAGTCTCCAGAGCGGCAAAATCCATTAATTAGAGAGGTGTATGTTACCACATTTGGCTTGCATTTTTGTTTCATCAGCTGTCCAAACACCCTCAGTGCATTATGCAAGTCATTCTGCTTTACATACCCATCTATGATTGTTGAATAAGTGAACTCATCAGGTGAATGATCCCCATCTTTCATTCTTTGGATACACGTCAATGCATCATTCATCATTCCAGATTTGCAATAACCCTTAATCATGGCATTGTAGCCCACAACACCAGGATCCATACCCTTTGCAATTGTGACCTCAAAGAGCTTTTTGGCCTCATTGAGTTCACCATGTCTTATAAATCCATCAACCAGGGTGGCATTAACAAATGCATCAAGGGGTATATTTTGGTGAAGCATCTCCACAAGCAAGAGCTTGGCAGCAGAAAGCCTCCCCTTCTTGCAAAGTCCATTCATTAAAACATTGTAAACATTTGCGTCGGGCAGCACTCCCCTCTCCATCATTTTATCTCGAACTGTCAATGCAACATCAACCTCCCCTGCAGCCACCAGGCCATGAACAAGAGCTCCATAAGCAACCAAATCCAGTGTATGCCCTCTATCTGTCATCGCAATTAAAAAATCCAAGGCCCTAACACATTTCCCTTGTTTCCAATAGACATGTATAAAAGGAGTATAACTAAGTTTATTCGGCAACAACCCCCTCATTATTGCCTGTTCTAGAAGCTGTTCAGCTTCATGAACTTTCCCATCCCTACATGAACCACTAATCAAAGTATTATATGTTGCAATATCAGGCTCGCAGCCACTCTCAACAATCCATCTTAAAGTCCTTCCCACTTCAATCTTACAACCATGCTTAATTTGAGCATCAACGATACTGTTATAAACTTGAACATTCACATCCAAACCCCTCTCCTTCATTTCCACCAAAAGCCTATCAACTGCCTTGAAATTGCCTTTTTTACAGAACCCATTAATCATAACCCCGTAAGTTTCCTTTGCAGGTAAAAATCCCTTCATTTTCAATTCCTTGAAAAGGCCAGTAGCTCTTTCAACATCACCTTTCTTCCAATACCCATCAACGAGAGCATTATAGAACACAATATTCGGAATGCACCCCTTTCCCCACCTATCATTAATCAACTTTCTACCCTCCTCAACCTTCCCTTCTTTACACAACCCCCTCACCATAATACAAACACTATAATTATCCCAACAACCATCCCTTTCAACCATTTCTTCATACACTTTACGGGCTATCTCAAATTTTTTCTGTTGAATAAGGGCATTGAGTAACGCATTGCAAGCAATAACATCGGGCAGATAATTATGAACATCATAAGCAATATGGTACAGCTCAAGAGCTCTATCAACCAATCCAGAATCCACATACGCGCTGATAACAACACTCAATGCTTCTCGGGAGGGCGCCAAAGCTTTACACTTCATTGTCTCCAGCAAATTCTCAACCTCTACAAACACTCTACACCTCGCTAAAAGCTTCAAAAGTGAAGAACAAGAAAACCCATTAAGCGAACCGTTAGAATCCGATCGTTCCGAGGCCCATTCGAAGAACTTGAAACCCAATTCTGGGTCGCGAATTCGATCAAACACAAAGTGGGCAATCTCCGAAACTGGAGTTTCGCAGTCTGAAAAAAGAGTTTCAAGTGATTGTTGCCAGTGTGGGTGGGTTCTGAGGATTTGGATGGCGTCTTTGACCAGATTTTTTATGTGGGGAGGGAAGGGAATGGGAGAAGGAGAAGTGGGTTTTGGGTGGTGAAGGGGTTTGATGCGAGAAAGAAGTGTTTTAGTTCTAGACATGAATGAGAGAGTGGAAGAGGAGAAGCGAATTTTATAAGGGATTTGTGCATTTAAGGTTTCAAATCCTCTGGTCTTTGTTCCTGCGAAGGATTTATTTATGCATATTGGTCTCTTTAGATGTGTCAATGAAAAAAATCCAGTGTCCTGCTCCTGCTCATGCTCCTGATGACGTCTGGAGCATTTGAACCAGACAAGTAAAACATGGCCTCCCTCGTGATGCCTTGACCTTCTACTTCTAGAGTTTATTTTTGGTTTAATGGCATCAAGTACGTCCCTTTATGCTCTTTATGTTTTCTTAAGGTGGCTCATGTTTTTTTTTTTTTCTTATTCAATATCTTTTTATATTCTTTAATTTTTCTTAACGCAATCTTCTCATTAAAATCCAATTAATCTTTTAGTTGACGATGACAGATAGCAAAAATATTACCACGTGATGTGATACCATAAAAAAAAAAAAATTTCGTGTGGCAAAAAAAATTGCATACTAACATTTAAAAGCAAATTACATAAAAGAAAAAAAAAACCTAAATATAAAAGCCCTTAATCCAAAAGAACATGCTCGTTAACTTTCTTCATCATTTGGCTTCGATTTCCGTTCAACATCGATTCACAAGCTATTAAACCCAAAGATCTTTGGATCTCGTCTATTATTCTAGCAAAATCATTATTTAGTAGCTTGAAACGTTAATTTTTGAAAATTTTCAATTCTAAACCCCAAATACCTCATCTAGTTTTTTAACGTCAAGTATCCGTTACTTTTAGTTAAATAGTTGTCTTTTTTGTCTCCTAACCGGTATCAATTGATTCTTCCTTTCTCTTACTTTGTATTGCGATAAAGTGGACAACAATAAAGAAAAATAATATATGGCCAAAAAGTTAATTTGTGTTGTCCTCCATTGTCAATTTATTGTATTGGTGTTATTTGTTTGATCGAGTAATGGTACTTATTGTTGTAGAGATAACTTCATAACGCAATAAAGTGGATAGCAATATAGAAAAGAAATAGAGTATTATTTTAGGACCCTAACTGTTTCATGTGTGGTCCTTGATTTGTCGTTGGTTTACCAACAAGATAAATTTTTTATTTTCAATTAACTTATTATGTTATATATTGTTTTGTGATCGTAATCTGTCTTATGGGTTGATCGTGGTTACTTGTTTTTCTTTATTGGTTGTGTTTGACATATGAAGACATTTATTGGTCATTTAGGTGGGTGTGTGAAAAGGTTAGTGGGTCTAATAGGTTTATGAGTTGAATACATTGATGGGTGTGTGTTTGAGAAGGAAAATATTGATCTAGAGTTATTTTATCCTATTAAAATTAGTAGAGTAATTTGGTAGAAAGGATATTATATTTGTATATTAAAACGATCCTTTTACCATACCATAATCCCAATATTTGTTTCCTAGGTTAGTGCATAATGAAAAAAGTCCGATAGGGTTATTAAGCTTGATAGAGAAAGTTGAAAAAGTTGATATTTATTATGAGTATAGAGGCAAAGACCACCCATTACTCAACGAGGGTAGTCCATTTAGAGTATGTTAAAGGTTAAGGATTATTGAACATGGTTTTAGGTTGGGCTTTGAGGATAGGAGGAACATGTTCATGAATTAATTGATGATAGGACAATACAAAAAGAAGAAGATAGAGTTAAAAATTTAACCGATGTTAGGTTTGTTAATAGTAAAGAAGTAGGCGGGGATGATTTAGTTGATATTTTACTAGAAGAAGATAATTTAGGTGATGAAGTTGATGTTCGTGATGAGGTTGGTGGGGAAAAATCGATACATCCGAGAGTGAATGTGTTGAAAATTATGGCGATGATGCTTTTAACTCGTTAATGGTTGTTTAATGATGAAGATGAGGAGTTACAAGAAACACGAAATCAAGTTAAAAAGGCAATCGAAGAGAAGGAGTGGTTTAAATTTAGAGGGAAATGAGGTCGCCAATTTAGAGAGAAATTAAGGTTAAATTTTAGAGGGAAGTGAGGATGTAAATTTAGAAGGAAATAAGTGGTCAAAATTTAAAGGGAAACTTAGGTAAGGATGAGGGAAACAAGGCCGAAAATAATTGTGATGATGATTTCTTGAATGTTCTTATAAAGAAGATTGAAACAATAGAAATAGAACATGAATATGACTTTGATGTAAGAGTTAGTATAGATAGTAGTGATGAGGATAATGAGAAGTATGGGAGAAGAAGGAAATCCAAGAAGGTTTTTTTTTTTTTACCCCAAAACAACTAATCCTCATTTTCAAGTTACAATGATTTTTTGCTAGTAAGAAGCGAGTTTATTGATGTAGTGACTAAGCATGCTTTGAAACACATGAGGTATATAAAGCTTGAGAAAAAAGACAGAAAAAGGGTTAGAGTAGTGTGCCACATAAAATTTTGTGTTCTTCACATGACAAATCTAAAAATTGGATAGTGAAGACATGTGTGGTAGAGCATAGTTATAGTATTGTTTACAAGAATAGTCGTTTGACTTATAAGGTTTTGATTAAGTATTTAATTCATAAATTTGATAGAGTTTGCTTGAAAATGACATTAAAGGAAATTGTTAAAGTAGTTAGAGAGGATTATGGTTCGGGGATCTCTTTCACACTTGCTCAGCATATAAAAAATTAGTGCAAAGTAGAGATTGAAGGTAATATGAAGTCTAAATTTGATAGATAGAAAATTATGCTCGTAGAATAAAAGGCCGATAATGAGGGTAACCATGTTATCCTACAATATGAGGAGGCATCCGGAAAGTTTTTGAGAATGCATGTAGGTTTTAAAGCATTGAGGGATGGTTTTTTGGATAGTTGTAGGAGGATTATAGGTTTAAATGGTCGCTTCCTTAAATGACATCTTAAGAGGGAACTTCTAGCGGCTACGGATAAGTATGCAAACGATTAGATGTTTCCTTTTTGTTAGGCAACCGTAATATAGGAAATGAAGGAAACATGGAAATGATTCTTGCTTCAAATTATGACTTATTTGAAAATTCTAATGGGTTTTGGATGTGGATGGACTTTCATCTCGGATTCCCATAAGGTGATGCATTATTTTAATCTTTTTCTTTTATGTAATAGTGAAATCAATTTTAGAGGTTAGTTTTAGTTTCAAATTTTTTTTATTAGACTAAATTTGTTTGTTGTTAAAAATTTTGATACAAAGCATACTAGGTGTTGTAGTTGAGTTACTCGCTTGGTTCAAAACATATGAGATGTGCTAGACACATCTTTGCTAATTAGAGGAAGATGTATAAAGGTAAAGAATTACATAGGATGTTTTGAAAGTGTTATCAAGTTACCACACCCCAAGACTTAGAAGAAGACTTGAAACTATTGGAGAGGATAATGCTTGATGTAAAGGCAGATTTTGAAAAATTCCTATTTGATCACAAGTGTAAGGTATATTTTAGACCTAAAATAAAGTGTGATGTGATAGATAATAACATGTATGAGACCTTTAATGGAATTATCACTAAAGCTAGGTGTAAAAGAATTATGAGTATGCTTAGAGGATATTAGGATATATGTTATGGGTAGTATTATTTTGAGGAGAGTGTTTGTTAAGAAGAAGCTTAAGAGTCCATTCGGACTTAAAATTTGGATAGTGATTGAAAAAAATAGAACACTTAGTGATGATTTTAAGGTGTTATGGAATGAGAGTAAAGATTGAGAGGTAAGTTAGATATATAGGGGTGATAGGTTTATTGGAGCGAGAAAAGGTGCACTTGTTGGAGGTGAGGTATCTCAAGTATCCCTCGTGAGCATGCATTTCTTATAATTAAATTAAAAAGATGGAGAGCCGAGGACTATATTCATGAGTGGTATTCAAAAGATAGGTTTATAAAATCTTATCAATATTTCATTGAACTCGTTAATAGAGAGAAGTTTAAGCTAAGAATTGGTTTACCACCCGCTCATCCTCCGGCGAGTTGGTAAGATGCCTCAAAGATAAAAAAAATAGTAAGAGAAAAGAATAATGAGAGGAAAAGAGTGGTAGTACTAATATGTTTAGAGAAGAGAGGAAGATGACATGCCAAAGGTGTTTTAAACAAGGTCATAATAGTGAGACTCGTCCTAAAAATCTTAATCAAAAGAGATGAATATTTCGACTATAAACCTTTTGTTTTTTTGTTTTTTTTTTAACTTTGCATAATCATCTAACTTGATGACAATAACAAGTTGTCTATTTTGTTTTAGAGTTTTTCAAATACAAATATAGAACCCGAACGAGAAAGTTAGGATGCATGAATTAGGAAGGGGGAAATGGTAATTTATTTATGACTATACTATTTAAATGACTTTTGATATGATTTATTAGGATTGCAATCGTTCATTAATATTATGTTGTACAAGATACACAAACAACTAGAGATTCTTTTGTTTAGTCAAGAGAGATTGTTGACGAAGAGGAAAAAGTTCTATTATTTTTAATAAAGTTCTTGAAGTTGAGCTAACAACAAAATCTCTAATTACCAAATCTACTCGTCAAAAGAGAAAATAATTCTGTTATTGTTGATGAAGTTTTTGAAGTTGAGTTAAGAACCAAATCTTTAATTATTAGATCTCGCTGCTAGAAGAGGAAAAAGATCTCTTGTTGAAGAAAGTGTCTATTGCAACAGAACTCTCAATACTAGATCAACTCGTTAAAAGGGAAAAAAACCTATGGTTGGAAAAAGTTGTTTTATTGTTAAGTCAAAATGTGTGATTCTAGACATAAGTGTTACTCGTTATTACTTGTATAATTAAAATAAATAAGTTTAATTTTTTATATGTTAATTTTTAAGAACGTATTTTTCGTATATAGTTTGGACACTCAAGTAGTAAATTAATTATAGTCCTACAAAAAAAAAAAAGATTAAAAAATACCTACAACTTATAATAGAAAGGGAAGAAAGAAGAAAAGTGAAATTGGAACTCAAGAAAGTAAAGTTCTTTATCTTCGTGATTGATGTGCTTTACTTACATGGTTTTAATGTTTGTGAAAATTATAGTAAAAAATTTTGGAGTGGGTTGATCTGGATTGATGTTTTGTAATTAAACACTTGCAACTTTTAAATTTTTGCATTGTGTTTTTGGAATTCAAGTTAATCATGTAATTACCGCCTAATGAACTATATGATATGATTTGAACATTGTTGCTTAATTAACTCGTATTTGATTGTTTATTACTAAATATGATATGTTAGAATGACATTAGATTTTATAACTAAAAATCTATTCCTTTTCTATAAATTACAAGTTTATTTGGAAATCGGTCAACCACATTATCAATAATGAACCCACCATTCAAGTGTACTCTATCAAAATTTTAACCAACTTAAAGATAGATATTGGTCGAAACATGCCAATCAAATTCCTTGATTTTTATGGTTAAAGCCAACTAGAAATGGAGAGTCCCAAAAGCTATGCCAATCAACAAACTAGAGTTCTCACTTCTCATATACGAGAATGGCATTTCATGATCCCGATCATCATTATCAATTTTTTTCTCCAAAGAAACTATCACAAACCAAGTGATTTCATAAACTTCAACTTCAATACCATTTACAAACAACCTACTTTAGTATAATTTACAAACAACTAACATAATTAAAATTAAAACTACTATTATTTTATAGAAATTTAACAACTTAACATTGTATTCACTTAACTTTTTCATTCTTAAAATCATATGTTCTTTCTCTCGTCTCTTGTGTTGCTATCTCAATCAATAATGCATATTTTTCCATAAAAGAGAATCTAACTCATTCTTCAACCTTTGCAATCAATTCATTGTTTTTTTTAGCAATAATTTTTTCTCTCTATAAATCTACCTTTGTCTATTTTTCATTCTCAAAACAATGATCCTAGCTCTACCTTCTATGAAATCATCCTTCCACACCTAATAAACACAATCAAAATTTTTATTACCATTATGGGCAAAACATATAGGACATGGATGGAACCTCGAACTCGGATGCTTGTCACTCCATGACATCCACACTGCAGCCTTCAACCCATAATGACATATCATTGCAAGCTCTTCGTAATTCAATTCGAAAGTTTGTCGTGAATCAATCGTAATCTATCATCCTCGATTTTATTAGTGAGAGTAGAGGATTGTGAATTGATTCCATCATAAATTTTTCTACACGTTGATGATGCACTCATCTAATTTAGGGTTTTAACAAAATGAAAAAATCAATTTGGGAGTTTTAGGGTTTTCTCAAAATGAATGAAGTAATTTGGGGATTTTTGGGTCCTCACAAATTGTGATTTTTTATTATAGAAAATTTAGGATTTTAACTCGTAAACGGATATATTCAAAGAAGATAAAGAAAAAAATGGAAGAGAAGCATGAAGGGGAAATGATTAAGAAGATGAATATGAGATTTTCAAAAATTGAGGTTTCGGGCTACTAAATAATGATTTTGTTATAATAACGGATGAGATTCAAAGATCTTTGGGTTCAATTACTTGTGAATCAATGGTGAATAGAAAATCGAAGCCAAATGATGAAAGAAATTAATGGGTTTGTTCCTCTCAATTAATCTCTCTCGATTGCGATAGGAGAGAGAAAAGTAAACAAGCTTTTATACTTTGGTTTTTTTTTTCTTTCATGTAATTTGTTTTTAGATATTAGCATGCAATTTTTTTGGGCTACTTGAAATTTTTTTTTTGATTTGTAATGCCAAGTGATAATTTTTATACTATCTCGTCATTACCAATTGAAAGGTTGATTGGATTTCAATGAGAATAATTACATTAAGAAAAATTAAAAAGTACAAAAAGGTGTTAAATAAGAAAAAAAGACAGATGTCATATTAAGAAAATATCAAAAATAAAAGAACATTTGATAAAATTAAACCTTTATTTTTTGTCACAAAAAATAAAATTCGCTACCCAAACCTGCTCATTATTTCCCGGGTTCGGGGTGGAAAGAGTGGAGGTTGCGCATTTATTCTAGAGATATGGCAAGTGAGTGGATGTGTATAGAATCAAAATTTGTCAGGTAGGATTTCACCTTTACTCGTTCATGTACGTTTTATTTTTCAAATGAATGCGCATATGACATTCCCCGGACCTGTCTGAAGCCGGCAAACCAGGGAACCAAGTTGGGACTGAGTCTTGGAGGTTCGGTCGAGACTGGGTTAGCCAGGGTCGATTGGTTTTCAGGTCCCCCAATTTTGGAGCGAGACTAGCAACTTTTTGGTTATGCATGCAGCCTAGAAATAGGAAAATCCCAGCTAGGATCTCTAGTTGAAAAAGAATTAAAAAAAAAAAAAACACCAAGAATTCAAGTTCTTATTCTGATCGTATGCCTGCATCAATTATACTTGGGTAAAAATATACGCTACATTTCTTCTGTCATTTTAAGGCCAATGCGCAATCTCTTACATATACATTCTAGAGAGGGGGCTTCTTTTGTGAGCCAGTTTACATTGGATTCCCATATGGTGAAATCAAAGGTCATGAGTTAGTCTAGCCAAGATTGCTTGCCCGTCCATCTTGCAGCTGATGCCCTTGAAAAGCTGCTCTGATATCAGTCAACAAACAATCTGTTGTTTTGATCTATCCCTCATGGCTTGTATAGGATTCTTGGATGTTGTTTCCATGTTCCCAAGTCGAGAATGTTACTAGAATTAGCCTGAAGGTCAATTCTGAATTCAGATCCATTTGCAATGCCAATGGGATAATAATGATCCATATGAGTGTTAACAGACCCTGATTTTCCTTGGCTCAGACCAACAAGTTGGATGTAGATACAACATGATTACACCCACATGAATTCTGCTGTAGAGCATGGATAGAATCATGGAAATGCATTTCGATCAGATTTCTACATAACCGAGTGACGTGAACCAACTCAGAATAGAAAACATGCTGCACTCCATGACAGATACTGTTTAATACCAGAATAAGGGCAACCATGTTTGTCACTACAAGTTCGCTGTTACTGGAACGTGGGCACACAACTTGCCTTTTCACTTTCAGAATCGCTGGTTCACTTCCTGCTGACAAAGCATCCCACAAGAATGAGCAGCATTTTGCTGGAACTAAGGAAAACACCTTTTCTTTTGCTTCTAGAGTTTCAGCTTCACCCCTCCAATGGGAGCAATAAAAAAACAAGCAGCATATTCAATTCAGCAGCCCAATTCACTAATTCAAGTAACTATAAAGGAAGTGAAAAGGTTTATACCATTAGACTTGAAATGAGGTGCTTGAATCCAATGATGATGCATAACCTGAATCCAATCAAATACCAAAGGAGGAAACCACCTAGATTTTGAATTGTCCCTTCTTCTTACAGGTAAATTTGTTCATAATTCATCAACTAATTTTGAGATTCAAGCAAATTCTGTGTCATTACAGAAATGCCTAGATTTTGAATATATCATGATGTTGTTTTCACACAAGCTCTATTGAATCAAACCATCATATAGAGTATTGTATTTCAACACCCATAATTCCAACATAAATTTGGCACTTGATCGAATTGAGTGGGATTCTCCATAATTTAACATCACAGCAGTTTAGAGAAGTAGAAAGAACTAGAGAAAATATAAGCACGCAGGTGCCCATGAAGGAAAATGATACACATTGTTGTGATAGAAATTATTCAAGCATCATTGTCAGGTGCTGCATGCTTACACATTTCCAAGAGTGAGACAGCTGTTCTCATTTTGAGATAATTTCACAAGAAAAAACCAGCATCTTAATATGAAATTTACTCCAAAACTACAATATTTACCAGCATGCTCTTGCAGATTGCCAATAATTGGTGAATGTCCACCTAGGAAACGTGAGCATCTCATCTCTCTATGCAATGACCACTGGTCGATCTTCATTACAGTACACCTCAACACGATTCAAAACTCTTTGAAATGCTGTAATCTAAAAGGGGAGAGAGACAACAAGGAATCAGTTAAATTTGAGGCACTCTACTGACCAGATATTTGAGACTTAACAACTTGCACGACCTATAACAGGTAAAACAGACTATGGAATTAACAAATTCAAAGAATGTCTAAAAGACTAGAAGCCACTTAATATTGCTGAATCTTGGAAGAATCTCAGCTATTGCCAATACATAGAAAAGGAGGGCGAAAAAAGGCATTCAATCAACAGAACAGCAATCTAGGTAAATCTACGAACACAAACTGTGATCTTATAACATTATTTGAGCATTTCCTTGATTGCTTTTCATACACACAAATGTTGATACATGATTTAGAACTATTATAGCCATGAGTAGAATATGGTTACGTGCATACTTCAGTGACAATATCAGCGTAAAATGAGAGGTCAAGGTATTTCACTCACACAGGAAAGTAAATTGGACAAAATCCCCAGAAGGGTAAAAAGAATAAAACACAACAAAAAAGGTGATATGAGTAACTTACCATCTGGTCCTTGCCACACGTCTCCTCCATCGTCGCCCAATCTCAGCGTAGCAAATGCGATGTTATCTGGTGAGATTCCCTTCTTCTTCATTTCATCGAACACCTCATAGGCTCTATCTATATTTTTAATTCTTTCATACCCAGCAATTAAAGCAGTATATGTCTTCACATCAGGTGTAACATTATTTCTCTTCATATCATCAATCAGCATGTTTGCCATATCTAAGCGTTTTAACTTGCAAAATCCATCAACTAGACAAGTATATGTCTTCAAATTGGGTGTGACATTGTTTCTCTTCATTTTCATATACATTGACCAAGCCCTTTTCATATTTCCAACTCTACAATACCCAGCTATAATAGCAGTGTAAGCAAACTCATCTCGGCTCAAACCCTCTTCTGCCATCTCCTTAAACAAATCAAGTGCTTTAGACATTTTGCCTCTCTTGGAGAACATGTCAACGAGAACTGTATGGGTCACACCGTCTGGTTTGCAGCCAAGTTTTGGCATTTTTCGATACAACTTCCAGGCCTTCATTGGATTTTTAAACTTTTTAGCATATCCATCCATAATGATGGTGTAATGGACAACAGAAGGAAAAACGTTGTTCTTAAACATTATAGGAAGAACTTCCCATGCCTTTTCCACTGCTCGATACTTGCACAACCAGTTTATGATTACGCTATATGTGTATGAGTTGGGAATAATATTTAGATCTTTTATTTGGTTTATATATCTCAAAGCTTCTTCAAACCGCCCTCTGCTGCAATATTGATCAACAATATGATTGCAAGTAATAATATCTGGTTGGAGACCATCCTGTAGCATTGTATAGAAATTTTCCAGCGCCCTCTTTAAGCCCCCTTTTTTGCAGTATTCACGAATCAGGCTATTATGAATGACGGAATCAGGAACCAAGCCATTCTTTCTCATCTCCTGCACAAGTTTATTTGCAGATTTCATATTATGCCCCTTTAAGAATCCATGGATTAAGGTGCTGTAAGATATCAGGTCATGCTTGTACCCTTTAGCACTAAGCTCACGGAAAAAATTGAGACAATCGTCCATCAGTCCTCTCTTACAAAGACCCATGAGGACTGAGCTGCAACTAGCAAGGGGTGGCTTTATATTACAACCCTCCATTTCTTGAATTAAATCCATACCCGATTCAATATCTCCCTCCTTGCAAAAGGCATCAACTAAAATGCTATAGCTATAAACATCAGGTGATATTCCCTCGCTCTTCATTTCTTCCAGAAGTTTCAAAGCTTCATCTGATCTGCCTTTATGGCACAACCCATGAATGAGAGCATTGTAACAATAAATGTTGAGAGGCTGGTTTCTACTACTCCAAACCTGAATCTTGTTCAAAGCATTCCCAATTGAACCAACTCTACGGAGATCACGGATACATACACCATGAGTAACAACTGTTGGGCTTTCCACATTTTTCTCCATTTCTTCCAGAATCTGAGATGCTTGTTCCATATCCATATTCTGCCCATGATTTTCTTTACAGTAAAAATTTATCATAATTGTGTAGGTGTAAACATTTGGTGATGGCCCTGTATTCTTCAAATCATCAAACAAACTTCTAACAGATTCCAGCTGCTCCCCTTCTGCTAAACACTTTAGTAAGAAATTGCACGAAGAAATATTCAACTCAACCCCAATTTTCTTAGCCTGCATAAAAACATCTTTCGCATCCGCAAACATCTTATTCAATGCAAAAACCTCTATAAGTAAACTAAATACAGTAGCAGATCTTCCCACACACTCTGGTGAATCCAACAACGTGGAGTACAATCCCGAAACATCAAGATTTTCTTCCTTATAATAAGAAACAATATCTGTGAGCAAAGCCTGTGCTTCCTTCTGCAGGCCCGCCAATGCAAACACATGAACAATGGTTCTAAACGCATGAATTGAATCACAAAGTCCATAGCAGTTCACGGCTTTAGAGAATTTCACTTGCCTAGCAACCTCCCAATTCAAAGTCTTGAACAGCCCCACAACAAATAGAGACAATTCACACCTCTTTCGATTCTTATATTTTATTCTTGGTATAATAAATTTATCAACGTCACTATCAGTTTCACTCATAGAAGTAAAATCAGACACATTGTATTCCAACTGCAACCCAGATAAAGCTGCAAAATTTACATTGAAAAAACAACCTCTGCGCCAAATAAGAAGGCTTCGAAGCAAACCTGATTTCAATAAGCATTTTCTTGAATAACGGCAAATACCCATCAAACCCAGATTGAGATTTTGCAAATTAAGCATTAGAAGTTGCATAATACAAAAGGCTGTGCCGCCATTAAGAATTGTCCAAGAGCATTGCTTTTTTAGCTAAAAAGACTGATACTTCTGAATAACCAATAAGCTGCACTTGACAAAACAACCGCACGTGTAAAGAATTGAAAAGAAAAGGAAAAGGCAATAGCAGCTTGTACATGGCAAAGTAAAGAAAGGAACTTGGTAATTACAAATTAATGAGAGAAACAGCTCCAATTGTGAAAGGACTGCCTTTTGCGAGAGAAAGACAGATGGGAAGTTAGTTTTGATGGTTGCTTTCAAGTAAGAGGTGGAGAATGGACAAGGAGACCACAAGAGGGAGTTTCTGTCTGTGTATGGTTTTCCGGTTGCCGGGGCACCGCAACGTCCTCTGAATTTTTTATGATAGTGGTAGTCACTTCATGGTCCTCCGACTTGAAGCCTCAACAGCAGCCTAAATTTTTTTTTTTTTTTCCGCTTTATTTATGGGTTTTGGCCGCAGATTGTGCAGCCTGTGTTTGGTTAAGAAAAATGTATATTCATTTTTTATTCTTTACTTTCGGGGTCTAATCGCATTGAATGCGAAGGGAAAGAAAAATACATTCATTTATATCAATTTTACACAGTTAAAAGATGAGTAAATTATAAATTCATTTTTTTTTCATTTTCATTAATTTTTTTATTTTAAAAAATAATTATTTAATTTTTTATATTTTAATTATATTAATAACTTAGTCTTTGCATGAGTTTTTTTTTAGAATAATAATATTTTTATAATAAGTTTTTCTTTGATGTCTTATTTTTTCTTTCATCCACTTTATTTCTCTGTCTTCAACATAAAATAAAAAATAATTTAGAAATAAAAATCATTAATTTAAAAAAATTGATAAAAAATTAAATTATTGACAAAATTTAAATATAAAAAATAAAATAATTAGTTTTTAAAAATAAAATTAATTCATTATTTCTTTCTAACCAAAGGGACTAATTTATAATTTACACTATCAAAGATTGCATGCGTTACTTCACTCTTAATTTTGTACCAACTTCTTTTATTTATTTTATTATCCTTTTTTTATTTTCAAAATAATATTGATTAATTTTTTTTTTTTTATCAAAAGCCAAAGTTTCTATAGCTTCCAGTCTAAGATAGTCTTTATACAAAAAAAGAATAATAATAATAATAATAATAATAATACTATCCGGATAAAAAAATACAAGTCAAAATTTTCTTTTCTTCTTCCTTTTTTTTTTTTTTTTTTTTTTTTGCCCTTTTTTCTTATTCCTCGTTTTCCTCCTCTCTCTCCAGTCTCCACCACCAAATCACCCTTCTACCTTTCAGGTTTCAGATGACTTGAAATTGCTAGGATGTCCTAAAATAAATGCTATGGAATTTGTGTGATGATCTATGGATAGCAAGAAAAATAAGAAAAATACAATTTCGCATATTCGTTGGGCGACTAGTGACAAGTTCGAAGATCATGGAAATTACCGTGGGTGTCAAATTCTTGTCTGTTCATTTCTATTATCAAAACGATAGTGCAATGGGGAATAACAGGTCAAGCAGGAGATGTAGCTACTTGTTGCACTCGATTTTTCCTGCAACCAATATGAATTTGCTGCTACTCATAACAGCATTTCCGCCCAGGTTTCGACCTATGCGTCACCTGTCATACCTTTCATTCCATGACCAGGATTTTATCTGAAGTCATCTGTTGCTTACCTTAACAAATTTTAAACAACATTTGTGAGATATTACATCATTTTTCAAGGAGACACTGTGGTCTGCACAATCTAATTACTGAAGCAACTTGCCTGAATTCAGGCACCAACCAAGATCACCCAAGTTTTACTATGCTTTTTTACAAACAACTGGTTTGCGTTCGACCCTAATACTTGTAAAACAGAACTCACTCCACCCATAGATCCACAAGCTCCACAAACCATCCCAACAAAATCGAATAATCACACCTCCACAGACCAGCTCCCCATATTTTTTATCTCCCTCAAATTTGAAACCAATAAATAATAAAAATGGGTTTAATCATAAATCCGGAACATGTCAAAATTCCATAATCTTAAAAGTCTTACATAAACAAGTAATCTTAACCATGTTCAGTCCGACTTTACATAAACCACTTTATGTAGTGAAATGTTCAAAACCGAGCACTTGGCTTAAATGTGGGGGTCGAAGGTATCACTTGTTTATGTATATGTATAAATATTGTATTTGTAATGTATTTTGTATTAGTTAGTTTTGGTTAGTTACTCCGACTAGCATTTCACATGCCTAGATTGTATAAATATAGTCGTTGGTTTCCCACTGAAACAAAGATTGAAAAACGAGTTAAACAAATATTTTCGTTATTGTATCGAGCATACTTTTGCTTTCTCTCTCTTCTTTTAGCAAACCTTCTTTTCTTCCTTTTCCATTTTCTCGAAGAAACAAACAATTCTTTTTCATTTCTCAAGAAACAAACAAGTATCTTTGTTTCAATTTCTTTGAGAATTTCTACAACCAATCAATCTCATTTTCTTCATTGACTCTTGTTTTACATATCAATGGCGAGAAAATCAATTTACAACCTCTTTTTCTAGATCCGAAGATCAACCTTTAAATCCATTCTTCTTGCACAGTAGTGAAAAATCCTTTGTTAATTCTAGTTTCACTTGTATTCATTGATTCTAACTATCACTCATGGTCAAGATCTATGAAAAGGACATTGTTATCGAAGAACAAGCACAAATTCATCGACGATTCTATTCGAGTTCTTGAAAATACGAGTCCTTTGTATACTAGTTGGGAAAGATATAACACGATGGTACTCGTCATAAATAATCAATTCGAGTCTCTCGTTCGATTGCACATAACATTCTTTGGTTAGATACAACAATTAAAGTTTGGAATGGTTTGAAGGAAAGATTTTCTCACAAAGATTCTTTCGTAATTGCAGATTTACAAGATGAAATCTCTTTGTTTCATCAAGGAGTTAACTCCGTGATGCAATATTATACTCAACTCAAGATTCTTTGGGAAGAGTTGTTGAATGCGAGACCGGTACCTAATTGCTCATGCAATCCTCGTTGCACTTGTGAAGCACTTAAAACTATGAAAAGCTATTAGATGAATGATTATGTGATCAAGTTTTTGAAAGGATTGAACGAGAATTACTATACTATCAAATCTCGGATTATGCTTCTCGTGCCATTACTAGAAATCAATAAAGTGTTTTCTCTTGTGCTTTAAAAAGAAAGGCAAATGTGTATGTGATCTCGTCTCGTCCAAATTGCAAAGTGAAGTTCTACCTACTTCTTTTATGATTAAAGGTGTGTCCATTTCTTATCCACAAAAGAGATTTCAAGGATTTCAAACTAGATTTCCTACTAGGCCAGTTTGTTCTCACCTGTGGCCTTCGGTGGTCGTACGGTTGATAAATGTTACAAGAAACATGGATTCCTCTTGGCTATAGGTTGAAATATAAAACTCCCGAAGTTAATTCTCATTCTAGTGCGAATAATCATTCTTATAGAAATGATTATATGAATCGAGTATAAGTCGTTAGCCTATCTACAAAAGCTTATATGTTTAGGCCTTGTATTGATAATCTCGATTCGGTTGGCAATTCAATTGCTTCAAGTCTTAATACTCATGCAACACTATCTCCTCCCATGCCCTTTATGATAGATCAATATACCAAATTACTAGCATTGATTCAATCTTCTAGTGTCCGCCGTCCTACTCGAGTAAATTCTCTTGAGACTACGTTTTCTTTTATCTATTACATGATAGGTAAATTAGTTTCTTCTTGCCATTCTCACTCTATAACTATGACACCTAGTTGGATATTAGACATTGGAGCCACATATTATATTGTGTGCTCTTTAAGATTTTTTAGTCAATATCAACCAGTTTCTCATATGATTGTCAAATTACCAACTGGTCAACAAGCTCCCATTACTCACATTGGTACTATCCAACTTTCATCTTCTCTAGTTTTAATCAATGTATTGTATGCACCCTCATTTTTTTATAGTTTATTTCGGCTACCAAGTTAACTTTTGAATCACATTGTTCCTTGATTTTTCACCCCGATTTTTGTGTGATACATGACTCGACAAGCTTGAAGATGATTGGTATAGCTAAACAATTTCAAAGACTCTATCATCTTTTCACTTCTAGAGTTCCTTTCGTTCACAAACCATTTCGATTGCATGTATTACAAATCACTCTTTTAAGGCTTCGCCATACTTTGGCACAATAGGTTAGGTCATGCTTATAAACGAAGAATAAAAGTTCTTCATTCTTTAGATCCAGCTATTGTAAGTGACAACGTGTCTCCTTGTGAATCATGTCATCTAGCTAAACTAAAACGCCTTGTTTTTCCTATCGATAAATTTGTTTTTTCATCTTATTCATATGGACATATAGTTTCCATTTTCCGTATCCACTCTATCTAATCATCAATATTTTCTTACCATAGTTGATGACTTTAACAAATGCACTTGGATCTTTTTAATGAAATCAAAGCCTAAGGCTAGAACTCTAATGCAAGCATTCTTACACCTCTGTTCATACTCAATTCTCTATCAAAATTAAGTGTATAAAAGCCGATAATGGATAAAAATTCAATGTGCTCGCATTTTATAACTTGCATGGTATCATTCATCAAACTTCTTATATTTCAACTCCGCAACAAAATAGTGTGGTTAAATGAAAACACCAACGCATCTTAACGAGTTACTAAATCTTTAAGATTTCAATCTCATCTTTCCTTACCTTTATGGGGAGATTGTGTTTTGCATGCTATTTATTTGATTAACTAGTCGCCTTCTCAAGTTTTTGATAACAAAACACCATTTGAAATTTTATACAACACCCCACCCACTTTTTCCCACCTCAAAGTATTTGGATGTTTTTGATTTGCCTCGAATCTTGCTAAATCAAGGTCCAAATTTGATCCAAGAGCTACAAAATGTCTCTTTCTTGGTTATCCTTATGGAATTAAAGG